TATGAAATTGAGAAAAAAAACCCTTAATTTGAAAAAGAAGAAAATAAATCAAGTTAACCAAGTTAATTAATCAAACTCGCAATCTAGTCCACGAGTTTGAGACAACCTCATAAAAAATAAATTGAAAAATATTATAAAATTCAACTTCCAATAAATCTAATGTTGAATGATGAAATCGAAATTGAGAAAAAAAATTAGAAAGAAAAAAATTATTATTCTAGTGAAATAATGTTATGTGAGGAGAGGTACAATAAAATCCTCTCAGTGTTTAGTTTTTTTTAATAAATATTTATTTCTTAACATTTTCTTTTTTTAATATTTTAGTTTTATTGTTTATTTTAATTTACACTTATAGTTATTACTCCTTACTTAACAGGTCGACCTGATGTTTCACCTATTTAAAACCAAATATGGGTTATGTTTTTTTGAAATTTAGATGAACATTGGCTCAATAAAACCTGGTTAGCCTCGCCATACTAGGATGAGACCAGATCAGGTGAATTTTAAGGATTTTTTTATTTTTATCTCAAATGACATTGTTTTATTTTTTTAATAAAAAATAACATCATTAAAATTACCTCATTTTGGGGTGACCCAACTACTATGCAACTTAAGCACAAGTGAATTTAATAATTATATTTACACTTTAATAAAATCTTTTATTGTATATGGGTTTTTCTTCTAATCTTGATAGTATAATGTAGTGTTTAGTATTCTAATAACAATTACTTTTAAAAATATTTTTCACTTCAAAATGCATCAAAATAAAATATTTTTTTAAATTTAAATTTATTTTTGATATTAGCATATCGAAATAATTCATAAATATAAAAAAATAAGCAAAACAAATTTAGTTTTTCAGCAAAGACGCAATCGACCTCGTTGTCAAACGGGTTCTAATTGACTAATGTGTTTACTATGATACCATAACATTCCTAGAATTAACAAGATATGGATCTGTGCTATGTTATGGGTCGATTTAAATTTTTTTCCAACGTAAAAAAGAATGCTAAGGTGACGCGACCTTTCCTGATAAAAAAATAATTTCAGACTCGAGTCATTGACTTGACTATGTTTAATAAGCTCAACTAACTTAAATAATATGAATAAGAAAAATACAAAGACAACAAATAAACAAACAAACATGTTGACAATATAATAATAATAAAAAAAAAATCTCGCAAACAAACATGTTGACAATATAATAATAAACAGACAAATATGTTGACAATATAATAATAATAATAAAAAATCTCAAATCAAGCTCATCCAGGTTAACATTATAAAAGATGCAACCTAGTCGAGATATTTGGGTTACCATATTGAAAGCAAACTGAATAAGACTATAAAGCTTAATAATTAAACAACTTAATGTTGAATGGAAAGACTATAGAGAAAAACATTAAAAAAGCATTAATAAAAAAAAGAGATTAATATCAACTTGAGTTAACTTACTAAGTCTGCGACCATGGGTCTAAGATTAGGGTAACCCTAGAAAAGAAAGTGAAAAAGGAGCACAAAAATCAATTATTAATAAATTAAATGTTGAAGGATGAAATTGAAAAAGAAACAATATCAAAAAATAATCTAAAACAAAATCAAAGTCAACTCATATTAACTTTCAAAACTCGTGACCCTAGTTATGAGCACATAATTAACATTGTAGAAGACAAACACTAAAAATTTATAAATTTATAAATTAATAAAATATTGAGGGATAAAATTTAAATAAAAATGCAATGGAAATGGATTTAAAATGAAAAAAAATAAGAACTAGATTTAAGATAAAAATAATTTAAAATCAAATGTTGAGAGATGAAATTGAAAAAAAAAAATCAATTAGAAAAATGATAAAAAAACACACAATAGAAACAATAAAAACTAAATTTGATATACAAAATAAATGAAATAAAATGATAAAGGATATTATTAAATAAAAACATCAATAAAAAAATGTAAAAAAACAATCATCAATAAAAAAAATGGACCAAATTAGAGAAAAAAAAACAAATGAAAGGACAACTTTATAACAAGAAATAGAGAGAGAAAAGGAAGATCACGACAATACATTCCAATAATGCTGTGGAAGGTAGCATTTGGATATGAAATGATGCCTCATGTGTTGTGTAAAGGGTACTGATATCACACACGTGGAAGATCACGACAATACATTCCAATAATGTTGTGGAAGGTAGCATTTGGATATGGAATGATGCCTCACGTGTTTTGTAAAGGGTACTGATATCACACACGCCAACTATTTTTAATTTTAAAATTAGATTTAGATTTATTAAAAGAATATATTATCTTGTGGACAACTTGTTAGTTATAAAAAACCAGTTTGAAAATATAAGTTTTTATATGCAAATTTAAAGAATTTTTCTTTTAAGAGTAATATAGTCCTTACATTATGATTTTAAAGTATGAAATGACTGAATTGCATCATATCAATCTTTTGATATTTTTTTTTGTTTTTAAGAGTAATATAATCTATATGTTCTGCTTATAAAAGGTCAAAATATCAAATTGTTTTTCATTAATCTCACAATTATTGATGGATCATACATAAAAAGTTTATAGCAAGTTTATTGATTCTTTGCCCGAAAGGTAAAAAAGAGGTAATTACAGTATTACAATTGCCATACATATATGACATTACAATGATTACCCTTTTGGATTAGATTTGTGTGTAGAGAGAACATAATTTTTTTTTTTGATAATTTAAAGGTTTAGAATCTTTATTTAGTGTTTTAATCTTTAAGGATTAGATTTGTGTGTAGAGAGAACATAAATTTTTTTTTCTTTGATAATTTAAAGGTTTAGAGTCTTTATTTAGTGTATTAATCTTTAGGAATCTTAAATGGTCTAAAAAGTCTGATTATATATAAAAAAGATAATATTGCTCACAATACTTTATATTTAAGGTGAAATACATTGTTCATTTATCTGATTATTATCAAGGTTCTGTTATATTTATTTAGCCATTAATCTGTCTATTGATTAAAAAGGATACATTTCAGTATAATGGACTATGATTTTATAAATCTAGTATAATTATTTTAAAGTTAAAATATATTTTATTGTTTTTGTTTCCCTTAGCATTGGGAATATATTTTATGTATAAATTTATAAATATTGATATGAAAAACAAATAAATTTGTTTTTTTTGTGTTTTTAAAATTTAGATCAAAATCTAGTTGATATTTATAAACTATTTCTAAAATTCATTAATTGATTTTTTTTTAAAGAAAATTTTTTGTATTTTATAAAAATATATTTGAAAATCGTCTTAGAATTTTTCCATATGCAATTTTTAGCAAAAACATATTAAGATTACAAGTTTAAAAGAAATAATAATCTAATGGAATTGGACGCAACATAATAGTGCCCCCACCTTCTTTAAGTAATGGCATGAAATCCTTACTAGGCCTCTTATCCAATCCAATTAAAGGAGACAAATCAGCCCATTTGCCCAGGCTAAAACCTAAGCTCACAACAAACAACTAAACCCAAACATAGCTGAACAAGCCTAGGCCTGTATTACAAAATACAAAGCCAGCCCATAAGCTTAAATTAAACGAAGGATGAGCCCAAATCCAAAAGGTGAATGGGCTGGACCGAAAGACATCGCCCAATTTCCTCACTCAATATTAACGTAGCCTGACCCACAAACAAAAGAAACAATCAATTCCTATACTTGAGCGATCAAAGCGAGAAACTCTGAAGAACCTCGCCCAGGACTTCTATCATTTAAAAAAAAACAAAATCACTAAACATGCGCATGGATATAACCAAAATTGTTTCCAAGTAACCCACGAAAATACGTTGATCATAACTGGAGATCCATAGAGCTAATCCATCCAAAAACGTATTTGCAGCAACACAAAACATACTAACATGCTGGATGCTTAACTAATTTCATACTATCCCCTCCGAAGAATGTAGACATTGTTAACAGTTTTCCCAAGATCAAATCAATAGCATGCCGCATAGACTAAAATTCTATTTTCTGCATTTAGAATCCTCTAATCACACAAGGTCATCATTATTTGTTCGTCTATCAATTGAAAGGTCACAATCTCATACTATCATCCAAAACGTAAAAATAAACCAATTAATCGTACACAAAAACCACGACCTAAACGCGTCGCGCCACCAGGAAGAGCGCGGTATGACGCTTTTAACGCCGCTACGGAAGCCGATGTTTGCCCATTAGAGAAGTTCCAGACTAAAGTGGGAAAAGCATGAGCCTTGGAGATAGCATAAAGAAGAAGAAAGGAAAAATAGTTTCGCACTTCAAAGATTTCAGTTTTTCAGGTACTTGCTTTGTTTCTTGGTTCTTATGAATTGTCTAATTAGATCCTTTGGAAAATGCTAAGATTTGGAAAAATATCTCCATAGTCTCCTCTCATCTTATTAGCTAAAACATCTCCAATCTGAATCTTGAAACCTAAACATATGTTTCAGAGACCTAACTATCCATGCAGGTCATGCATTTTTTCTTCCGTTTATCCCTCCTTAACTTGCAAGAAATAGCGATGAATGAGAGAAATCCTCCTCCTCTTGGTCTATTTCTACCCACACACATAGTTACAAGAGCACATGGAACAAATGTAATTATAACCATGGCCTTCTTGTTTATATGATCAACCATAATTTTATACCCGGTCTGTAGCCAAATAACTGGAATGTTGATGAGAAGTGTTTTCACATGCTGCGTTTTGAGCTCCATGTTTTTTGGAACACAGGTTCTTTGTCGAAACAAGAGACTATCTAATACTATTTCATGGTATATAAAGTTGCAGGTACCTCAGTGAGAGAGTTACCTCATCGTAAGTAGAGAATTTGTGCCTGCTACGTGTGTCATAATGCCTACACAGGCTGCACAAAATTTATGTGCAAGGTGGGTGGTTCGCGACTCCTAGGAACTTAAAAAAAGAAGCTCGGAGGTGTATACACATGGCAGTATTGGATAGCCCGAGGAAAGTCAGGATTGAGAAAAGTCAAACAGTAAAGTTCTAGCCGGCCAGAATTTTTTATGTTTTTTTCTTTGGATTTACACCGACTACGAAAGAGCTGGAAGAAAAATTTATTTGTTTTTGACTAATAGTACGAAGTAGCAGTACTAGAACAAAGCTGACAAAAATAAACCGCGCTTGATGTAGATCCAGCCTGAACTCGACCTCGCCTGTGTCCCATGAACAGATCTAGGCAGTACCCTCAACCAGCTTGTTCAACTTTTTTGTCCTCAGCCTCTCAGCGTATACCTCACTTCCTTGGTATTCGTACCTGTACATAAGGAAAGCACCAAATTAGTAAAACTTCTGCGTCAACGTAGCATCTTCATTTCCCTTTATAACACTACCTTTGCGGCAATGATATCAGAGGGCTCAGGCTTTGAGTAAGTTTGACAGCTTCTTCCTCAGTATGCACAGTCTGATTGAAGCAGAAATACCGCCCGCATGTGGAGCGATCCTGGAAAGCTCGAATATGGACATCAACCAGGAAGTTCACGTCTACAGAGGCGAGGACTCCATTTTCATACATTTGAGCTACCCCTGTTACATTTTTTATAGTTGAAACAGATTGAGGATCATTTCAGAATCTCACGCTGAGATGCCGACCAACTTTTTCTTTTTTGGTCAAAACATAAAGAGTAGATGGATATGCCATCGCATGCATCTGTACCTTTGAGGTATGACATTGTTGATAGGGGGTTCTGTTGAGAGACACCAGGACCCAAAACTAGTCCAGCATTTATGGAAACCATGTTGAGCTTACGGTCCATGGCTAAAGCCCAAGCAGCATGTTCAGAGAGTGTCTTTGCCAGGGCGTACCATAACTGTCAAACGACAAGGTAAAACTTCTTAACATAAGCAAATTCTAATCTAAGGCACTTCCCTTCATAGAAGCAAAATCCCAGTATATATCTTCTTGCTTCTGAAAGCAAGAACTCTGAGAATTTGGTCATGTCACCTTTCAGAAGTAGTTTTCAAAGCAATAGACGATGCACAGAGAAGAAAACCAGCGACACACACACTAACAGTATTTTTAATCATGTCATGACATTTTTTAAATTAGAAAAAAATAAAAATTTCGCTTTCGAATCTTATACTTTTTTTAAAAATCGAGCACCAACTTGAAAGATAAATTAAAATGGGTTTCATAACATATGTGGGACATTTTGAATAATACGAATCTATCACAAGATGCTCAGTGCACTACAGAAATGGTCCTTTACTATTTCAAGATGTTCTCTGGTGGAGGAAAGAAAGCTAAATAGCATCATAATGTGTTCATAGCATATAGCACAATCAAAAGAGAAGGGACCCAAGAACCAGGGCAAAAAATAGTTTCAGGGGTCCAAACCTTCAGTTTCCTGCAAAATTCTTGATCGCTCCAAGACCTCTCGTCTACATCCTCCTGTGAACAAATGTTCTCTCTCCATATTGCCGCAGTTAGTGAAGAGCTGAATATAATCTTTTCAATGGTATCGGTCTGTGCACATGCCTCTACTACATTGATTGCTCCTCTAACTTCCAAATCAATCATCTTGTCCTGCCAAGATCACATGAAAACAGTGTCTCCTAATCACAAAAGGAAGAGAGCAAAATTGTAGATATAGGGGACAAGCTAGCTAGTTTGATTAGATAATTAACATACATCATAACCATCTGGACAGTCCAAGCAGCAGAACATAGCAGAACAACCCTTCAAAGCAATTAGAATGCTATGGTAATCCAAAACATCAACTTCAAATACCGACAATCTCTCCTCCTCTCTCGCCAAGTCCCTTATCTTCTTCTCCATCCCAGTCTCACCTGAAGAAAACCCAGAACATGAAAGCTGATAATTAACACAAGCCTAAAGCCACATAACAATATAACCAAAGACACCAGAGAGTGAAGAAGATGACTTGCCATTATACTTCTGTATGGCTGCGTGAACTGTATATCCTTTACTTAGTAGTCCCTTGAGAATCCAAAAACCCACATAGGTTGAGGCATCAAGAACACAAACTGAGGGCAGCTCTTCAATATCCATCCCAGCTCTTCCGACTTTCTTTCAATTTTCTCTTTGCTAAAGTTTCTTTGCTGCTCCTCCTCCAATGAGCTTTTACATATATTTATATATACATGTAGCAATGATTACGATAGAACGCAAGATACAATAATAGAAGAAGAGTTGGTGAACTGTGTTCTTACACGTTCCCATCTACTCACCATCTTTTCGCTTGAAAGATCTTTTCTATCGACCTTGTTTCAATTTTATCAACCTTAATTTTATTTATTAGTCTAAGCTAAACAATAAAGTTAGGCTTATAAAGTCATTAAAGATTGAGCATGCATGTATCAAGAGTGTGTCTAGACGTAAAATGTCTGTTTTGGGCAGTAAAGTAAGGGCGCAAAACTTCATTTTAGTTGTTTTTTCCTCCTGTTTTTCTCTGGGTTTAAATTAAATTAAAGGGAGAAAAAAATCATGGCTTAATTTAAGTAGGTAGAAAACGTGATTATGTGTTGGAGAGGAGATGAATTAACTATTGACATTGGGGTTTGACAAGTAAACAAAAAGCTCATATGTGGGGGACAAAACTTGCTATAATGCGCTGTGCTGTGTGTGATCGGAAATGGTCCTTTGGTCTACTTGCTACTCATCGACCAGGTGCTACGTAACTAGTTAATAAGTCCACATGCAATCATTGAACTCTTTTTAAGATAAATCTGAATTTGGTGTCGTGGTGAATGGTTTTTTTTTTAATATAGTGTTTATTTTTTTATAAATATATTAAAATTATTTATTTAATTTTTTTATATTAAAACATTAATGTATTAAAAAAATATCAATTTAATATATTTTCAAGTAAAAATGAACTCTTAAAAAACATCTAAAACAAGAAACAAAAGTTGTGATAAGGACCCTTCTAGAGTTTTTTAATTAAAAAAATTAGCACATTTATTTTTTTAAATAATATAATTAAAATTTTATTTAAAAAATTGTATATGCTGTAATTTCTTTAAATGAGGTAAAGACAATTTTATTAAAAAAATAAGTTATTATAAATTCTAGATTAAAAAATATATTAATATTATCTTTATGAAAATTACGATAAATAGAATATTTATTTATTCTTAAAAAATAACATTTTAAAATAAATAAATAAATATTATTCTCTCTAATCATCACAAAAACATGAATTGAGAATAATAATCAATCAAGAAGATGCCATTCATGCATTTAGTAACAGATACGCAAATATCTAAAATCTAATGGAATAATTGAAAACTAATTTAAAAAACATATAACAATGTTACATACATGCACATTTTATATATTATTATGATGTCTACCAGTATGATAATATATGTATATAAGTTATCTTGTCGTTAATTTCATTGCTTTGAAGATTTTTGAACTCTCTAAATCATCACAAAAACATGTATCAGAAATTCTAATCAATTAGAAAGATGTGATTCATACACCACGTGAGAGATACACAAATATGCAAAATCTAATGGAACAAATGGAAACTAATTAAAAAAAATACATAGCAATGTTACATACACATACATTTGTTGTTATTATGATGTATCATTTTGTGATACTGTGTGTGTGTGTGTGTTATCTTATCATAATTTGCATGTGTGTGTGTGTTATCTTATCATAATTTGAGATAGAAACTAATATTTATTTATTTATAGAATATTATCTTTACAGTGGTTGTGATAAAAATAATATTTACTTGTTTATTAAAATCAAGATTTTAAATAATTTTTAAAAAATTAATAAAATCATCTCTTCAATATTTTTTTTATTAAAATCATAAATGACAACTGCAACTCTTCAAACTGTAATATATTTCCAAATAACTTTTCTACTATTTTGATGCTAAATTATTTCTACAATTTGATTCCAAATTAATTAGAAGAAAGAGGTTCATTTAATGGAATCCACATCTAAACCCATTTTTATGATGGATGGAGCATCAACTTTACGACTAGAAGAAACTTGCACCAATTTTACACGCATGGTGCTGATGAACTATTGGGCATAAAACTGGTGCCTATACCATGATCTGGATTGAATATTGTACTGGCTTGCCTGTTTCTTATTTGACTAATCACCAAAACTCTGTGGTTCTTAGTGGGTGCGGTCACAACATGAGTGCAAAGTTCGACAAAGGTCACATATGTGAATAGTTGTGCTTATGCGAGATTATCTGTTGTCAACCACGTTTTCTTTTTATACAGTTAACTTTTTTTAATCACCTTAACATTTGCAATGTCGGCAACTTACCTTGCCTTATCAGGGGGAGTTTGATTATTGTATACAAGATTGGATTGGCTTAAAACATCAAGCACTCTTGAAGATGAATGTAAGGCTGTGCAAGGCTTGAGGGAGGAGGCAATCTACTATTTCCTTGACTTGTCCTCCTGGCTATATGTTTATTGACCCAAGGTTCTTCTCTCTCCCTCCACAGTCCACGGCTTGATTGATGCTGTAAAGACGCCAAGCATGTTGTTACGTCATTTTACTGATTACGTGACCCTCCATCATTTCTGATACTCAAAAGAGGGAACAGAAAAGAATGACTAAGGGCAAATCACCAAAACGAAATTAACCTCACCTTGCATGAAACTATAAACAAATTCAGCGCAGAGGTAATTTGTACCGAATAGCGTAACCTGCTTCGAAGTACATCTCTAATGGTGAGGAAAACAGTTTACTGGCCAATTGCCTATTAAAAATCGAGGATGTCTAATAATGCTGGCTGCTCAAGCCTCGAGCCCTTTGTTGGGTTGCTGTGCGCGTGCAAATTTAGGAAATACAGCTGACAACTTCGGTGCCTAACCTTCTCCCGTATATCCACACCAGATTGCTCATAAAACCACATGTTAGGCATATAGTAACCATATAGGATTAGAGTGCCAACTACACAACCATGGGAGAAAATAATTTTTACTACAGGATTTCAAGTGCCAGGGGAAACAATCTCGTTCTGACTTCAGCTGTATACCAAGTTGAAGTTCAAGGCACAAGTCCCACTTGGTATATAATTGGTTCTGCAATAATATATGATCATAAAATAAAGATGACGCAACTTTGACATCCCTCGCAAATCATCATATAGCAAACCAAGGTAACCATCCAATTGCTTACCTGAAACTATAACAAAAGAACGCAGCGATTTCTACCAAAAACTGCACTCATGCATGAAGAGGTCAAATAATCAACTTTATTTATAAAATTGTGGACTGCCTGAGAATGTTCCGATTGACTCATTCTGTTAGTAAGAGGTTGCAAATCATGGAACCAAATACATATTTTAAAGAACATATTATTGTACATGTAAATAGGACTTAGGGAAATCTTCTCCATGTTTAGAAAAGTTACCTAATCTCATTATGATATCAAACAACAACTTCTTACATACATGAGAAGAGCATGTTCTGACTCTTCAAATTCAAGTGCAGCTAAGGAATAAATTAAGCATTGCATGCAAAAAAGAAAGAATTATTTGTTTATACCTAGTCCTATTGAAATAACTGAAAGGGTACTGCCATGTCCTCGTTGCTGAAACATCATTATCTGAACAAACTTTAGTGTCATCATCCAAAAATGTGAGTCACATGCTGAATATTGGCAAAACCGGCCCCAGATAACCATGATGAAAATGAGAATCTATTGATTCTTAAATAAGCTTGATGGAACCTAAATAAAAAGAAAAAAAAGAAAAGAAAGAGAGACATTATAAGCAAAGAAGCAGATAGATATAAACGGATGGAATGTCAGGGTTCCCCAAAAGAAGAAGAGAAAGGCTCCATGGGCACTTAGTTTCATGAAAATATTAGTACAGACCAACCAGATAAAGCTTGGTAAAGAGAATTAGAGAAGTATCATTTCTATCTGGCTGAACCTAAATGTATTCAAGTTTTAGGCATTGAAAATATAAAATTTAAGCTGCTGTGCTAAAAGATATAAATCTAATTGGAGTTCACAAGTCTTTAGTCAAGGATATGTCAAGCTGCTTCACCTCGTACATATACACAGGAGACTGGTGAAGAAAAGTAGGAGACGAAATGCTAAAAGCAGAGACATGAACTGGAAAGGGGAAAATATATTTATTTTCTTCAGAATTGAAATCTAGCATCTTTCTATTAATGGAACATAGTCTTGAATGACAATGACATCCACATCAAAAGATGATGGGACATCTAAGTCCAACATTTAGCAGAAAACTAATAGGGTTTATTTGTTTTGAGAAAAAACGGAACCAAGAAATACAATATGTTTCCGAGTTCTGACAACCCTCCATGATTTATAAAATGGAAGTGTAACATAAGGCCAGGCAACCATGTGGACAGCATTCAGGATAGAAAGAAGAAAGCCTCACATAGAAAACCAATTCAGTCATTTGCTATTCATTAAAAAAGAGAAAAATGAAGTTCTTCCCAAGTCAAAGCAAACATACCTTCACATGATGTGGCATGATCTTGATATCAAAGGGTACATGAAGCCATGCTTCAGGCGGATAGAGCAAAAAGTTCTCAGGCTTGCTTGTATAGACATCTGCATATTGATGAATGTAGTACGCAAAAGCTGATTCTTGACCTGTGTCAGTTAGGAAAGTTGCTCCAAAAGACTTGTTAAACATTTTTTTCATCTTCTGCCTTGCCTTTAGCCTCTCATCATTTAGCTCCTCTGAAAGCAACTGATACACTTCACTTCTCTGACTATTGGCAACGGTTGCATGTAGTTTACCAAGCAGTTCTTGTATGATATGAAATTTTGCCTGCATCCAGGAGCAGAGTAGAGACCAAAATAGGGCTTATGATCAGCCGGAAGAAACAACTTTAAGCCCTGACAATTTTTATTGAACAATATAAGTGAAAGACACAACCATATTCATCCCAAACAGACAATTTTTAAGGCTTTCTTTCATGGATAGGTGAGATTGGAGGTAACAAAGGAGGGTCTTTTCAGTACAACTTTTCCTTTTCTTTTCCTCTCTAAAATGCACACAGCAGAGAAGGCTAGATAATAGAAGATTCAAGCTGATCATCAACTAAAACAATAAATATTTGCTTCATTAGATATGAAACATAAGATGAAGATGAAAGGCAATTCAGGCAACTGCACAAGACTGAGATTCTCTTAATTTCAAAAGGCAGCTGGTGAACTCAAAATGTAAAATCTTTTGAATCTTATAGCACTTACTATATGCCATGAGTCTTATATCATCTTCCTATGATCAATACAAATACTTCACTAACCCAACCACAGAAGTTGCTCTGCGACATTCTTTTTGTTGTGCTATAGCCTACTTTGTGGCTGATCACCACTACTTAAGTTTGTAATCACTTGCGAATCTAGTTCAGAACAGATTACAATCACCACCTCTTCGATGTCAATAAGAACATCGTTGGTCTAGTGCCCTAGCTATTCTAGAGTTTTAGTCCATTTTCCAAAAATTCACTGAAATCTACATCACAATCAAGATTGCCTGTAACTTGAAAGTCATCACACTACATTTAGCCCCAATTTGTGCTGAGTCATTTACTTGCATGAGACATTTACAAGAATGAAAAATTTTATAGCTCAATGGATAAGCAAAGCAGAGATGTACTCTATTTAGACGTTGGCCATACAGATATGCCAAGTCAAGAGTAACAACTAGCAGAATAAACTAACAATGATGTAGATGAGGAAGAGGATACTTCAACTGAAAAGAAAAAAATTCAAAAAACATAAGCACTGTACTTAAAACAACAAAGCTTTAAAGGAAGCTAAATGTGCCCAGACACATGCATGCTATTTAGCCAGAGTTGAAAGATACAAAAATAAAAAGCTATTAACTACTACTGTCAAAAAGCTGAGCAGAGCATACCTGTTCAAAACGATAATTATCATCATTCTGAATAAGTATTTCATTCTGCATCATGAAAAAAACCCAAATAAAGTGCTTGATAAGCTGAAATTTAAAAACATGGGCATTTACTTGACAGGTAGAAAAGAATGAGAAATGACCCTTACTTCTAGTTCATGGATTATAGCAGCAGTGCGCCATCCGGCCTTTGAAGGCCCCCTTAGGTCACTAAAGAGGTGATCACCAAAATAAATCACCTACAAAGGAAATAAATGGTGAATTGTTCAAACGTCAGGGGAGAAAACATTTTCAGTATAACTGTCAAACAAGGATTTGCCAAAGTGATTAAATTTTGATTTGCCCAACAAGCATGTAAAAAAAAAAAATAACTCAATCTATTAATTGTTAAATTTCCATCGAAAAGCAGAGGGGAGGGGGGAGCACATATGGATTGCTTTCCTCTATTACAAATGTGATGTATTTTTAGTTTCCAATTAATTAGAAACTTTTTCCAAAGAAATTTAATTACTATAGAAGAAGTGGTTATACATTAAAACCCTTTATTATCAAAAGAATATATCTTTTACAACACAATTCATCGTCTTTGGATGCATAATCTTAAACTTTTTTTGGATAAGAGTAATTTGTATAAAAAGGAAAACTGTACATGATCTTAAACATCAAATAACAACCAGAGAAACCTTCGTCTTTCAGCCAAATACACCTTTTCTGTCCTCGGTTTCAGTAAATCTTTTCTATTAATTATTGATCCAAGAATTTTTCATTATAACAAGCTCATCAAAGAAAAATTAGACAGAGAAGTGGTATCTAAACCCAAACTCTTAAATGAATTGATGTGATTTTGGCAATAAAGTTCAATATAGGGAAAAACATATGTTTCTCAAATTTTCATCACAGTTACCTATACGAAAAGAAGGATAATAACAAATTAAGAATGAAAAAATCTATGTTGAAACACTTATATTTGTTTTGTAAAGAAAATTACACTAAAAAAGCACAGGAGAAATGGATGTATGTTCAAGGCATGTTTCTTTTTTCCCCAAATCAAGAAGATGAGCAAATATGTAAATCCAATTTCAAGAAGGAAAAGGGTTTGTGGGACAAACTTACAGGGCTCACATATATGTACTTTTACTTATTGGTCTTTAACCACAGCATGTAAAATCTATTGAAACACCCCAAAACTGAAAAGTCATAGATGATGTACCTCTGGACCATTCCACTTGGTAATTTGGAGAAACGATTTGAGCGATCCGTGGTAATAAATTTTATTTGGAAGAAACGCATCCACCTTATTGAAAGCTAGGGTGTCCTTCTCCATGTCATAATAGCTTCATAAATTTCAAAAAGATGGATCATCAAACAATGAATTATTATACATGGATTTCATTGTTAACAGACATAGAACCAAAGTGCAGGAAAAAAAAATGAAAGAGTAGGATGAAGGACCACTGCTGGCAGCTTAATTTTATAGCACAAGATAAAATAAAACGGGCATTTGTGTCCTTTTCACGTTTCAGTTTTATAAATTCAGCAATAGATGCAATTCATCAAGGTTTCACCACATGGGCAAGGAACTTGCTGTCAGCAAGATAAAGTAAACCTAAGTGCATTTCCATAATCTTGTTGATTTCTTTTTGCTAATCCTGTCGAGACACAAATGCAATAAATTTTACCCTCTTGAGAAGCATGATACTATAACGCATAGGTTGTTAGGTACAAAAGGCCCTCTTTTTACAGAAGTAAATCTAAGTTTTTAAAAGGTTTTAATCCCTATGCTTAATAATTTTATTTTCAGGTTGCCTACAAAAGACCAAACTGATGGAGAATGAAGGGAAACAATGGGAATTAATATTTATATTTAGGAATTTTATTATTGCATTACTATTATAGATTTTATTGTTTAGGAATATTATTATTTATTATTTAGTAGTTGAATGAAAATTTTAGTTTCCTGATTGAATTAAGACTTATTAGGTTTTCCTTTTTTATTTGGTTTGGTTCATATAAATTAGCACCTAGACATTAGTTATTAATCATTGAATAAAAAAACTGAGTTTTCTTCAGGATTGAGTTTGTCTCTCTTGTTGGTGGCTTTGGCTCCTATTCTACATCAATTCCCTTTTTTTGATGATTTTGCTCTCTTGTTTTGCATCACCAACCTCTCTCGTGGTTATGTTTGTTAAGTAAAGCATATCCATCACTTCATTATTCATGACAGCTGCAGTTGATATCATAAAGCCCTCACAAAGATTTAATCAAAAACCAAAGAAGAAAATTAAGAACATTGTGAAGTGGCAGAACAAAGCCCCATGTCTGGTTTCTCTTGCATGTATATGTACAAAATAAATACAAAACTTCATAGGTTGAAGATACTAACCGAAAGGGATGCTCCGAAGTGTAAAACTCTGGCTTATTGGCTTTGGCAATAACAACATCAAAAAGCTCCCTCCAAGAGTCTCTGTAACCCAAAGAATCCTAAAGAGCATGTTGAAGCAAGCCAAGAAACTCACCATTAATTTTTCTGATGAGTAATGACAGCAACCTTACCATAATGATACTAACAACAAACTCACAAACCAAACAAAAGACAAATAAGCATTCAATCTTGCACTAACTATTGAAACAAGTTCCAAATCATTTCCAATGATGAAATTCAGCACTTCCACTCATAGCAACTGGAACGAGAAAATTGAACTAGGAGCATTCCACGGTCTACAACCTCCTATTTTATGAAATAAATCTCAATGAGCTGCCATTTTTTAATTCAGAAATATGAAAGAAAATATTACCTGACAGGAAAAAAAAGGCATCTCAAATAACATTAAGATGCAAAATTAATTCCAAGTGTCAAAAATGAAAGTTGCAATGGTGGATAGGATTCACACTCTGAGTGCATGAGAACATTTCATTCACATTCCTCATAACATAAATCAATTAATCATCAATGAAATTGTGCCATTTATATCATTCGTACACCGGCTTCTATTTTACAGCATCCTATTTTTGTATTTCCGACAACAGCAAGAACAATCTTTTAAAACAATGCACTGAAGATCTATAAACATGAAATATAGAATGCATTTGCCTCTCAAAGTATCTTGAACTATTATAGGGAAATCGAACTAGCTTGAAAAAAAAAAATTATAGCAGGCCAGCTGCTACATTGCAGTAGTGTAATAGTGAATATGACGGGATATTGACCTTCCCTTTTAAGACACAAAAGGAGGCTAAGATTAGATTCTTGTCAGTGAATACCTCCAGCATAAAGCGCATCCCTCCATCCACAAAATTGTAAGGAGAGTTAGTGAGCAAGAAGAGCTTCTTTCCCTTCTCCCTTAGCATTGTAAGAAAGTGAAGTACCCGGCCCTGAAATATTCACCCAAATGGAAGAGGTCAGAACTCAGAAGTATCAAGCAGAAATGCCATCTCACATTCCTGACAGGAACAGATTTGGGAAACAGGTCTGTTTAACTTAAAGCGGATTGTAAATACAGCCAAATATATAAGGAATTGGAACCCACATTTTTGACAAGGTATCTGTCAGGATCAGAAAGAATTCCTCTGTGAACCAACCCACTGCGATGAACATGCTGAATTGCACGATCTACATCTTGATAAATGTACGTTGCATCAAATTCCAGTTTAGCATCAACAAAATGTTGTACAACATCTGCAAGAAGGCAAGCCTACAAAATAAAATGATGACATAGTAGCTTAGGATTAAAGGGAAACACAAATGCACAAGCCAAACAGTCAAAGCTCCATCCTATGGATCCATGAAGGGGATTGTGCAATCAAACAAGAATAGCAAAAATAAATATATGACTGTTAAGCAACTGAGTATCAGCTGCAATCGAGTTCAAGTCCTGTTAAGATACTAGCTGAAACATTAGCACCAAGGAAATCCATGCCAAGCTGTAAACCTCTTTTGACTACAAAAGATCAACAAACCGGTTTAACAGTAAATGCTTGGCCCGTGGACATACCTAATTATGTTATTTACATTTGCGTGACTTTCCAAGAATACTCCTTTGCTTTACCAGTACTTTACAAGGGAGATTTCATTAAGGTACTCTATGTTAACGTTCCAGTTCAAAGTGAAAATAATACTCCAGGACATCTTAAATTAGGGAAGTGGACACAATACATGGGATGGAAAGAGACAGTATGGATGTGATGCATCATAGCCTAAATTTCAAAAGATATGATGCTTCGGGAGTTGACATAATAAACATTCAAGTTCAGACCTATGTAAGTGCTCTAAATACAGGAAAATTTTCATGAACTTGCACATTATGACAGTAATTACTAATAATGCCAGGCGGATTTAGGTCTTCAAAGGCTAACACAAGAACTATAAATTATTATAGTCAGGGATTAATTCATCTCCTCCAACCAACACACTCAGGCTTGGATTAATATTTCTTTTCCGATAGAATTATAATGAGACTAAAAATGTAGAGGGAAGCTGATTATAGTAGCAAAAGTGTATCCTATAAAAGAAATAAAGGGGCCCCTCTGCTGCATTTTAAAGAAATAAAAATGAATATAACTTATCTTTTCTAAGTGAAAAAAAAAAATTCATATTTTTCATATACTTCAACCTTACTGGTTCTGAATATTGACTATTCAAAGAATTCAGAGCCATAACAGTTTCCACTCATCCCCAGGATATTGAAGTGTAATAAAATCATTAACACCGACCGGCATGTTAAAACCATACTTTTAGCTAGCTCCATCAAAAGTTCATTAGATTGTTTTTAATTTTCTTTTTTGTTTGTGATCTTGGATTGGAGGTCCAGAAAGCATAATGGAAAGTGAAATTAACCTCACTAAAGCAAAAGAAATCCATCAAGCCAACAAGCCCACGTGCTTGGTCACGACCAATATGTCTTGTGCCATATATCTGTTCTATTTCCTTCCTGCTGAGCTGAAAAGAAAACAATATGACAAGTCAGTGTTTTCATTGAAAAGTGTATAAATCAACAATTAATTAAACAACAGCATCACAATATTCTTAGCACATAAATCACAATCAAATTCTAGAAGTCCAATGTTGTGTTGGTTATTGTTGAAGGTTCTGGATTGTGAGAAATGATGAGAAGGGATAAGGAGAGAGTAAGGCGATCCTTCAGAGAATATAAGCTAACTGGTAATTTGGGCAGATATGAAGAGTGTTGCCAAGAATTAGAGGGTATGACATGAAGTTTCATATGGATCCAAAAAATTATAGTATACAGGTTGCTTGCAAAAGAAAAACTAATAAAAACATTAAATAAACAATAATCAAAATAAAATACTCGTCTAATAAAAGCAAAATATCCAAAACTTCAATTATTAATTGGAAACCCAGCTCAAAGGAGACAAACTACCATAAATATTAATTTATGCACTACACCATTAGAATTTCTGAAAACCCACAAATCTCCATTGGTAGCATTCTATCACATGTTTCCACTGGAATCACTCAAACACGAGATTGATTAGTCTGAGATTATTCAGCCCTATCCCATCACCTGAATTCTTCGAGATGTTTATTGTTCCTTTATGCATCTAGAAAAGAGTTTTCATATTTGTGTGGATCAAGCTATTATGTTGAAATTTCTTTCAATCCCTTGCATTGGCTACTCATGGTCTTTGTGCTTTCCCTACAAAGTTGCATCGGTATCTTTGTAGAAAGCACCTTCTTAACCAATTAATCATCTACCTCCACAAAGAATTTGGGTTGGTATGTATCATGTAGAGCTACGGATTCCTCTTGGGATGTCACAAGTTCAGTTGAAGCAAGTTAACTTCTAGGCAAGAATGTTGGTTGGTGTCCATCCATTTAGTTATGTATTAATTAATTGATGGTTGCAGTGGCTCCATTAAGCCATCAGCTTTCATAAAAAAAAGGAACTTTCATATAACTACATGAGACCTGAAACACAACAGGAAGGATAAGACGCCCTCCATTTTCCAATCATAATTTTTGAAGTTGAACAGTAATTCAAGCATTAGATCTCTCTTTCCTACATTGCTTTATGAAGAAAAAATCCTACAGCGAACCAAAATTTATCTACAATCCTTGGCATCTATAAACAAGGTAAGGATATAAAGTAAAATATATTCTGGGGTACCTTGCGACGCCCGAAGTAGCATCCATCTGGCTCAATTGACCCAAAGAAATCCAACTTCAAGAGACATCCATTTTTCTTATCATAGGATAGGCCTCTAATGGGAAAGGTTTGATCATATCTGAATTTCAAGCATGTCTCAGGGTATCTAAACTGCCAAAAAAAAAACCCAAGATGCAACACTAAACGCAGAATTCCACATAAGATAAAATGTATAAAACAGCAATAAAGGAAAGTTCAATCTAACCTCATTAACCATATGTTCTTTTGCAAGATCATATATCAATCGATGCAAGTTAGGAGAGTAATGTGCCAACGTATAGTCATAATCAAATCCATAAACTTGAATATTGTCCAATCTCAGGTTCTTATTAACATATATGCCTAACCCATCAAACAAGAATAATAAATACACAGACATTGCAATATGCCATGAATAAATAAAACAAAAACTCGGCCAAAACATCATGGAACGCACCTTCAGGGTTCATTTTTGGCATTCCCTTGACTGCCTCAGGAATCCTCAAAAAACCCTGCTTTGCTGCTTCAAACTCGCCCCGAATTTTTGCTACTTCACCATCAAGAACCAAATCATCTACCTCATCCAATTTCAAAACTGTTTGGTCAGTTGACGCAACTGCATTGTAGCTCCGAAAGCTTCCTCCCAGACCTAGAATTGAATTAAAAGCCAAATAAATTACCAGCATGGATTGGTTTGGTTTCTCTTATGGTATTTCTTTTTTGCTAGATAGTTTAATTTACGTACATCTATCGGTCGACTTGAGTTCCTAGTTATCTCAAATTTGAATATTAAACAAAATAATTATATGCAAATACGAATTATTAAAAGCTAATTAATTAAATAAAAAATTATGATTAATAATTCATTCATTCATTTCCGAGATTATATTATTAGATGCAGCCGCTTGTTCGGATATTAAGGCAAGATAGAGAGAAGCAAAAGAACCTTCTCGAATTCGAGTAAAGGAAGAAATATTCGTCCTCTGCAATCCAGAGATAAATACGTTTATCAGAATTAAAAAAAAAAAAAATAACGTTATAAGCAAAAACAGAGAGAGAGGGGGGGTACTGGAAGGGAGGAGGGGAGACGGAGAAGCCTTCGAAAGGCAGCCATGGATTGGCAAGTGGATTTCAGTGATTGTGCTCCATTGTTAGGGTATGTTGAAAGAGATATGTCAAAGAAGGAAAAAGGTGCCTCCAAATACCGAGCGCCGCGATCGAGCGGCGATATTTATAGTTGTAGCCGCCCTTTTCCCATGTCCTTTCCCATTTCTTAAGGATTTTTTTTAAAAAAGAAAAAGAAAAAAAGAAAGCAAACAAGCAAGTTTGTGCCTTTGTTTTCGTGTTCAAAATTGTTTTTGAGTTGTTTTTTTTATTCTGAAAAATATTAAATTAATATTTTTATAAATATATTTTAATAATTTTGATATGTGATGTTGAAAATAAAAAAAAATATTGTATTAATATATTTTCAAATAAAAAATATTTTAAAAAATAATTTATAAAACATTTAATATTGTGATAACTTCTTTTTTTTCTCAACCAAGAAGAAAAAACTATTTAATTAACTAAATAATTTCTACTTTTTATATTATTTTGGGTCTCATGTATAGTTATGTTTTGAATATAGATTTTTTGGAAATTAAAATAATATGCTTTCACTCATAAAAATTTTTATGATTTCAATTATATATTTTTTTTAATTTACTTTTAAAAATATACAAATAAAATTATTTTTAAAATTACAACTATAAAAACTACCATAATCTCATACAAAAACTAAAATATAACTCGCAACTCCAAAGCTACTCTCAAGTTTCAAATAGTTTTATTTTAGATATATGCTTTAATAGTTCCTATTAGAAAGAGATTAAAAAGATAAAAAGAGATATAAATTTAAAAAGATATTGTGTTTTATGTAAAGAAAAAAGAGTGTTTTTTTTTATTAAAAGATAAATACTTTTCACGATGAAATTTTTTTTTATTGAAATTAATATTTTTTTAACTAACTTTACATATGATTATCAAACATGAGAAAGTGAGGAAATGGTTGCAGGAATTTGGTCTTCTATAAACAAACAAGGCATTAAAATCATTCTATCCACATTTCTCTAAAAATATACTACATTTACTAATGCTGTCCCTGCCGTTAGTTTTAATTTGAAAAATGACCCGTGTTGAATGAATGTTTTTCTATCACTCCATTGCTAGGATTGAACTTTGAGATTAAAAAATGAAACTATCTGTCCAACCTAAATCAAGGAATTTAGAGAGGATTTCAAAGTGATAGCTAGTGATTTGTTAGAGCAGAATTTTGACGTAAATGGTGTAGCTTTCACAAGATATTTGGATTTTATTTTACATTATAGTTCAATTATATTTTTTTAAAAAATTAAAATTTATTTGTAGCTTAACATTAATCATTTTTTTATTGTTTTGATTTGTTGATGTGAAAAATGAATTATTAAAAAAATATTATTTTAATAGTTTTTTAAATAAAAAAACATATTGAAAAACAATTTTTATTGTACTCTCGAATAATCCTACTATCAAAATAAATAGTATTCTTGTATATTTGGCTTAGATATGAAAAGGAAGTGTTTAATTAACATCTGTAATTAAAAATAAGTCTGGGTTTAAAAAAGGTAGTCATGGATGCAACTTATAATAAAGTTTTACTTCATCATCAACTTTCGTTGATGCATTCGAATTTAATATAATCGAACGGTGATAAGAGCGCTAATAACAGTTTAAACTTTAAACTCAAAGGGCTCAAATACTCTCAGGGTAACCTTGCTTAAATCAGTACTAAGGGGATGTAATTGGAAGTTACTGAGAATTATGGAAATAGCGAAGGAAACGGTGCGTACAAGGGAAATAGCGAGTAAATTCTTGTATGTATCAATAAAAATGATTGAAAAAGACGGTTCCAGAACATTTTGATCATTTGATTCTTTCCTTTCCTTTCGTATTGGGGAGAGAGAACGTGAGCTTGATTAAATAACTCAATCACCACCACTACCTCTCTCTCTGCAGAAACAAAACAATGGTGGTGATCGATCCAGAAGAAACCGTACTCGAAAGTACCCCGAAACCTCCTCAACCAGCACCATCAACATCAAAAACGACGACGGATTCGACCAGCAGCGAAACCACCACAACGACAACGAAAGCAGCAGCAGCAGTGAAGGGAAGCGATTCCGATGGATTTGAAACGGCAAGCGAAAGCGGAGTCAGCGACAACGAAGAAGAGCAGGAAGAAAATGTCAATAAAGAAATCAGTAGCAAAAACACCACTGAGGATCAGCCAAAACAAGATACTCAAAACCACGACGAATTGATTCAGGTTTTCACTCGCTCTCATTTTAATCGGCTGATAAGGAGGCAAAATCGATGTTTCTTTCTCCATTTATTAGTTATTTAATTTGGTTCTTAAAACAGAGAGGTATAGAGGAAGCAAATGAAGCAAAGTTGGAAGGGAATAGGTTGTTTGGAAATGGGCAATATGAGGAGGCATTATTACAGTATGATGTGGCTTTACAAGTTTCCCCACCGGACGTGCCATCATCCATTGAGTTGCGTTCCGTTTGCCATTCCAATCGCGGCGTTTGTTTCTTGAAATTGGTATCGATGTTGTGATTGTTAATTTGTGTCTAATTGTTTGATTTGACACCACAACAATTAAAGCTTACAGAAATTGAAATTGATTAAATATGTTTTTTTGGGGGTTTAAGGGAAAATTTGAGGACACGATCAAGGAATGCTCAAAAGCATTAGAATTAAATCCTTCTTACATGAAAGCTCTTGTTAGAAGAGGAGAGGCTCATGAAAAGCTTGAACATTTCGAGGAGGCTATTGCTGGTGAGTCTGGATTCTTGAGATTTAAAACATGGATTCTATTTGTCAAGAAAGAAAAATTTTAATTATTGTTATTTGCAGATATGAAAAAAATCTTGGAATTGGATCCTTCAAATGACCAAGCTAAGAGAACCATTCGCCGCTTGGAGCCACTGGCTGCCGCTAAGCGAGAAAAGATGAAGGAAGAGATGATTGGTAAGAAGAAAAGAGCAACTTTTATGGTGCCTTTTATTTGCCCTTTTGTTTCAACATTCTTGAATACAATTTCTTTTCATTTGGTAGAAGCCTGTGTAATTAGAATTATATTGCACCGAGTCTGCGTTGAATACTGGAAGATGGTTCTTTCAATTTCAATAGGCTAAAACTTAAGCCTTCTTACTTTTCCTCTCCCTCTCAACATGCACCCACTCCTTTTACAGGCAGAAGAGGAAACTAAAAAAAAAAAAACCATAAAAGCACAGTAGTGAAACTAGAGCCCTTTTAGCCCTTGTGTCGTGTCGTGCTATGAGATCAAACACATTATTATTTTGGACAAAACTTAAATTTTTTTTTTTATGAAATTAAACATTTTCTTAAAGAAACTAAATGAATTGTTTAAAAATGGATCCTTTGAAAATCTAACAAATGTCATAAAAAAATTACAAGTAAAAAAGAAATAATAATTAAAACATTATAGTTATTTTTTTAGTAAATATAAGTATAAAATAATTTAATTAAGATCCATACAAGTAGGGAACTAATATAGTTAAATTAAAAAAATTACGGTTAGTTAATTTTAAAATATTTAAGGTTATTAAATTAACCATGTAATTAAATATTTGCTAAGTGCTATGTAAATTTTAAAATATTTAAAGTTTTTCTTTCTTTTAAATAAAATAACCAGCCTTCATCCCAAAAAAAAATATTTTTTATACTTTTTGAAGTGGAAGCTAATATACCTCTAACCTGTTTTTATAAAAAGCATCTTTCGCCCTCAAAAGTTCTTTTGAATTCCTGATTTTTAAAATATCAACCAAGCACATTTTTTAGTGCTTTACTTTAAAGCAGATTGTTTAAAACAAGAAAAGCAAGGGGCCAAAGAGGCTTTTAAACACCTATTACTCCCCTCGAATCTTCTATAACATTGAGGCTACCAGTGGTGAGGCATTAACTAGATTAATGTCTCTTCAACAGTTCATCATTTGCTAAAAAAACACTCTAGGTTCTAATGTCTTCTCTTTTTCTTTTTCTTTTTTTCTCTCGGTGATTATATCAATCTAGTAAGTAGTCTTGTTGTGTGTTTTGCCTTAAATTTATAGAATTTCATTTTTAGGCTGCACTTGGTCCGCATAGAACAGATAAAATGAAAGTAGTTTCACGATTAAGTTTTCTTCAATTAGAATTTTTTGTCCTTGTCCTTATCTGTTATTTGCTATTTAGTGGTTGTTCATTCACTTTCACTTTTTTTTTTAGTTAGTTTTTTGTTTGACAGATATCAAAGTTGCGGAAGCAAGGTGAATAAGAAAATATTTTAATCAATGTGATGATATCTCAAAAGCTTTGTTCTTATCAAAATCATGCAGCGCCTCATTTTTATTGAAGGAGCTTAAGTGCTTTATAGTTGTGAAGTCGTGCCATTGTGTTTGTCTTGGCTATGTGCTCTCTTTTCATTGGCTATGAACTTCATTGTCATCTTTACTGAGCAATGTGTGTGTCTTCTGATCCTGCATCAAATTTGAATTTCTTCCTGGTGAGCAGGAAAGCTGAAAGATATGGGGAACTCTTTGCTGGGCCGCTTTGGCATGAGCGTTGACAACTTCAAAGCTGTTCAAGATCCAAATACTGGCTCCTATTCCATCTCATTCCAACGTTAATTTTTGGCTGGATCGGGTCCCTTGAGTGCAACATCATCAGCTCCTGGAAGAACAGTGTGAGAAGAAGTCAGTCTGTCTGATGGAAAGATAGTAAAAACCAACCCGATACTTTATTTTGTGTGCAGAATTTATGAATACAAGAAGGACGAGGAGTTGATAAAGGAGTCAATGCAAGGGAACATATTTTTTTTGGTTCTCTTATCGACAGTATTAAGTGATGCAGTTTTCCTATTTGGGCAGTGGAATTTTAGTTTTTAAATCATGCACTGCTTGGTTTTGTGGTTTGAGTAATCTGTGGCACTTGATTATAGAAACTTTCCTGTGATGAACATTGGTAATCACTTCCTAAATGTTCTTCCCCATTGCGATTATTTCACTTTCTCGCTTCGTTATTCTATCAAGTATCCATTAGGCTGAGGATCAACTAGTGGTCATTAACTCATAACTTGTTTAAATGATTCAGTTATTTAGGTATTATCATGTTTTTCTGGATTTCTGATTCTTAGGCCTGAACTTTC